TGGATAGTGGGTAGGTGGGAAGATGGTGGGTAGATGAAGTTTCAATCTTGTTCATATTTGTTTTGATCAAAAAAGCCACCTTTTTGTAACAATCAGTTCACATGTTCTACATGAGGAGGAGCCACAAGGGTGTGCTGTGCTCCAGATTTGTCTAACCTAAAGTGTAATCACTTGCAGTGCCTTTCTTGATTGTGACTAACCTGCCGCCTGCCGGTCGAACTAACGTGAAACTGGCCAATTTGATTGCTATTTTTTTTTTTTTTTCTCTTCTCTAAAATTCAATTTTTGCTAGGCTCAAACCATAAGGGTGGGTGTATGGATGGAGTTTTAGTCTAGCCACTAAAATATAATTTCAATTTCACATGTGATTATGTGAATCTTTACTATTCAAGAATTCAAGATTACCAAATATCATCACCTTAATATAAAGCTAATCTGTAATCTCCACGTTTGCCAATCAGCACGTTTGATTCCACTAGCTAGTTTTTAACGGATCCGTCCACATTTTTCTTCCTTGTCCTGTCTGAGCTCTGTAAAGTAACAGACTAGATGCTCTCTCGCTCCCCCTCACACTCTTCTGTGCTTCCATTAACGCCTTGGAGTTTTAGACCTCATGTAAGTATGTATGGCTCTATACTTTATTTGTTCTTCTCTCGATTCATGAATCGTGCTTTCTCTGTACTGCTGAACATGCATGCATCCATTTTACTTGGTAATATACATCGCTAGTATCTTGATATGATTGTTCTTTTCCGTTTGATTTTCTTGATTGAGTCTGTCGATTCTATTTTTCTTCATTCCCGTTTAGCTCGCAAGTGGAAAGCCATGGAAATGAAAAGAGACTAGTCTTGATTTTCTGGGTTTCGACTTGTTTCCTTGATCTGTTAGTTACTGTTATGTTGTCCAAGTGACATGTGTTGTGAGTATGCGAATGTATGTGCTAAATTTTAGTTTGACTGGAAATTCTCCATGAATTTCTGGGTTCAATGCAGAAGATTCTCCAGGGCTTGTGATTTGATTTCTTGGGATTACTGAAGATTGTCAAGAATGTCTATGCCTTATGAGGAAGTGACTCAGAATGGGAGTCTGAAGGACTCTACAAATGGTATGGCAGAATTGGAAGAGTTCGATTTTTCTACGTTACCGGATAAGCCAAGAAACTTGAACATTGAGAGACAGAGCTCCTTTGATGAGAGGTCATTGACTTCTCCTATTCCCCCCTTTGGATCGGACGTCTTTCATCGCTTCTCAGACCACTTTGATGGTTTACTTTCACCCAAAAGGTCTGGGTTCACAACTCCAAGGTCACCCCTTGGGGAGCCACATCCAATGGTTTCTGAGGCTTGGGAGAGTCTGAGACACTCCTTGGTGTATTTCCGTGGGCAGCCTGTTGGGACAATTGCTGCATCGGATAGCTCTGATGAGAAGCTTAACTATGATCAGGTGACTGGCTATACTCTCTCCATTCCCGTGAAAATACCAAATTATAATAGTTGGGGTTATGAACATTATAATTTGTCTCAACTGGTTAAGTCTATCTGTAACTAACTGTCTTTGAGTAAGATAAAACACTTGATGCAGTTTTAATTTTAAGTTTTATGCATCAATATCACATGGAACTTTTAAGTATGTAGGTGTTTGTGAGAGACTTTGTCCCCAGTGCATTGGCTTTTCTTATGAATGGGGAACCAGAAATCGTGAGAAACTTTATCTTGAAGACTCTACGCCTTCAATCATGGGAGAAGAAGATAGATCGATTCCAACTGGCAGAGGGTGTAATGCCTGCTAGTTTTAAAGTACTCCATGATCCAGTGAGGAACACAGAGACATTAATGGCGGATTTTGGTGAGACTGCAATAGGAAGAGTGGCTCCTGTTGATTCTGGATTTTGGTGGATCTTTTTACTTCGAGCATACACAAAATCTACTGGTGACTCTTCCTTGGCCGAGATGCCTGAATGCCAGAAGGGCATGCGCCTGATACTCAGTCTTTGCCTTTCAGAGGGGTTTGACACATTTCCAACCCTTCTTTGTGCTGATGGATGTTCTATGATTGATCGTAGAATGGTGAGCTTGTCTCATTTATTATTTCCCTTTTGTTAACATATAACACTCTCTAGAGCAATAGATATTTCGGGTTTCACTGACTATGTTGGGGCATGCATAAAAATGTTTGTAGGGTGTTTATGGATACCCAATAGAAATTCAAGCACTTTTCTTCATGGCTTTAAGATGTGCACTGCTATTACTCAAGCAAGATGCAGAAGGGAAAGAATTCATGGAACGAATTGTTAAGAGATTGCATGCTTTGAGCTATCACATGAGGAGCTACTTCTGGCTTGATTTAAAGCAACTGAATGATATATATCGATATAAAACGGAGGAGTACTCTCACACTGCAGTCAACAAGTTCAATGTCATTCCAGATTCTCTGCCAGAATGGATATTCGATTTCATGCCAATACACGGTGGCTACTTTATTGGCAACGTTGGGCCTTCAAACATGGATTTCCGTTGGTTTTGCTTGGGAAATTGCATTGCAATTCTGTCGTCCTTAGCAACTCCTGAACAGGCAGCTAAGATTATGGATCTTATTGAATCACGCTGGGGTGAGCTCGTAGGGGAAATGCCTCTCAAAGTTTGCTATCCTGCTATAGAGGGACACGAGTGGCGTATTGTAACAGGGTGCGATCCAAAAAACACCAGATGGAGCTATCACAATGGGGGATCATGGCCAGGTATTTACTTTACTCGAATATCTTGGGGACTAATCCCGTTTTAGCAGTATCACTCTTATATTCAAGAACTGATCCACATATATAATATAATGCATGATATAATTAAATTATTGGGTGCAGTGCTTTTATGGCTACTTACAGCAGCGTGCATAAAGACGGGGAGACCTCAGATTGCAAGGCGGGCGATTGAGCTGGCAGAAGCGAAGCTGTCTAAAGATGGTTGGCCAGAATACTATGATGGAAAGCTTGGTCGGTTTGTTGGGAAGCAGGCTCGTAAAAACCAGACATGGTCCATTGCTGGATACTTGGTGGCAAAGATGATGCTTGAAGACCCTTCCCATTTAGGAATGGTGGCAATTGAAGAAGACAAGCAAATGAAACCTGTGTTGAGAAGATCACTTTCATTTTAGTAGCTTAGAAAGATATTGACATGTCATTGGATAACTTCAAGGATTTTCAAACAAGAATTTTGTTGCGCGTTACTATGTTAGTAGTGTCTCATTTGTCCGGCCATTATATTTTTTGATATCTTTTCCTTAAAAGTTAACTGCCTCAGCTCGTAATAACTAAAAAACCGTTATTATCGGTGGTTAGTAAGTAGTGATCCATTTCCGGAATAGCAGAGTCATATACAACTAACTCCGGTATAACAGCATCATAGCAATGAAGGCTCCTCGGAGGCCGATCTACGCCGTGATAACATGGCTCCGCCGGCAACCGCCCAAGGTGAAAGCTTTCCTGGCCGTGGTCGCCGGAATGGCGACACTTGTCCTGCTCCGAGCCATCATCCACGATCACGATAATCTTTTTGTTGCGGCCGAGGCCGTTCACTCCATTGGGATATCAGTCCTCATCTACAAGCTCATGAAAGAAAAAACTTGCGATGGTAATTTCAATTTCCCATTGGGATATCGGTTCTCTGATCTGAATATATATATATATATATGGTTGAAATCATTGCAGGGCTTTCACTCAAATCCCAGGAGCTCACAGCTATGTTTTTAGCTGTCAGACTCTACTGCAGTTTCGTGATGGAATATGATATACACACAGTTCTTGATTTGGCTACACTGGGTGCAACACTCTGGGTTATTTATATGATACGTTTTAATCTAAAAACAAGTGACATGGAGGACAAAGACAGTTTACCATTATATTATGTGGTGAGCCCCCTCATCTAATTATTGCACAAACAAAGATATTAGTGTCCTATATATACCCTTCTGATTATGCTATGATATGATTGTATGCAGGTTGTCCCTTGTGCCATTTTAGCTTTACTAGTTCACCCAACTACATCACACCACATTGTAAACAGGATCTTCTGGGCTTTTTGTGTCTACTTGGAGGCTGTGTCTATTCTACCTCAACTCCATGTGATGCAAAACACAAAGGTATCATAAAAATGTTTTTGATCGAATCGGGGAGGATAAGTTGATCGAATCCAAATGATTAATTTTATAATTTTGTTTTTTGTTCACAGATTATTGAACCATTTACAGCTCATTATGTTTTTGCATTGGGCATTGCAAGGTTCTTAAGCTGTGCTCACTGGGTTCTACAGGTTTGGCTAGGCTTCTGAAATATAGTGTTTAGAACAAATTAAAGATCCAGCTTTTGTGTTTTGACATGTTCTTTTCTCGTCAGGTTTTGGATAGTCGTGGGCATCTCCTTGTAGCTCTGGGTCATGGTTTATGGCCTTCTATGGTCCTTATATCAGAAATTGTTCAAACCTTCATCTTAGCAGACTTCTGCTACTACTATGTACAAAGGTAAACCATCTTTAATTTTATCCTTCTTCGCTCACTGTTTTTCTTTTCTTTTACTATGGTGATTTGCTGATTCTGCTGTGTTTTAATTGCGCAGTTTTTTTGGAGGACAGCTTGTGCTGCGCCTTCCTTCTGGAGCAGTGTAATGGCCGGTTGCACGTGAAATAGCAAGAATAGTCAAGTGTACTCGGTCACTTTTACTTGTGCATGCAGCAATGGCTTTTCTTATGTATCTTAGGTATCTGAAATTAGTTGGTTTTCTGGAAATAACAGTAACTTGATTCATTAACGCTAACTTATGATCTGAGAATGTATTTCAGTTGCAATGATCTCTTGATCGATGTCAAAGCTTAGCTTTAACACAATGAATGATACAGATGCTGCTGCTATGCTCCTTTTTAATGGCTTTTTGTAGTTTGAATTGATAAATGGTAAATATTCATGTAAAATGGTTTCTAGTTTTCCCTTTTTTTTTTTTTCTTTTTTTTTTTTTAATTGTGTCATTGGATTATTGATTGTTCATATGATATGATCTTTTGAGCATCTTGCAAATTAAAGGAGGGAAGTTCAAAAAGAAACCTGGATTACAGATTGATAAATTGCAGTGCAGTAGAGGTTTCAGACTCCCATGTTTTGTTGATACGTAATGAAACCGGAAAACAAATTAGTTAAAGTTCCTATGATGTTTGTTTCAGGCTTCAGGCAGTGAGATTCCTAGTAAGGATTCCCTCTAAAGTGATTCCAGGCCCAAAAGCCAGTATCAAACCCCAATCGGAATCTTCTGCTTCTGATTCCCGCTTCTTTTCTTCTAACATGTACTCCAGAACGTATACAATCGTGTTACTGCTAGCGTTTCCATAATCAGCCAACGCTCGCCGGCTTGCACTCAGCTTCTCCGGCGACAATTCCAGCTTCTTTTCCAGTCTGTTGAGAATCGCAGGCCCTCCGGGATGAACAGCCCAGAACAGCTTGTTGAAGTCGTCCTTATGAGAGTAGCCAGCAACCCGCATTAACTTCGCGCAGAATTCATCAATGTTGTCTTCGATTATCTGGGGAAGCTCTCTTTCTAGCTTGAAGCTTATGCCTTCTTCAGTCAGCTGCCCATCGATGATCTTCTCCGTGTCCGGCACAAAATGCTGTATAGCAGTGTGCAGCTCAAACAGCGGCCTTTCGAGTTCTTGAACCGGGTTTGAGCCGATAACCATGGCGCCCGCCCCATCCCCGAACAGCGCCACTCCCACTAAATCATAGGGGCGATCCGCACTGGGAGGTTTGAACCCGATTATGGTGGTTTCTGAAGTGGCCACAAGAACTCTGCTTCCTGGATTGTTCTCTGCAATGTCCTTGGCCACACGAAGGCCGGCAACGCCCCCGGAGCAGCCAGAGAAGTAGAGCATGACGCGTTGCGTGTCAGGGCGCAACCCGAGGCCTTTTGCCAGGTAAAGATCGCCTCCCGGCAACCGCGCTTCACTCGAGGAAACGTATACCAAATGTGTGATCTCTGTTGGTGACCTGCCCCATTTCTTGATGCAAGTCCAGGAGGCTTCAATTGCCATTTGGGTAACTGCAGAGTTGCAGATATCCAACCTCTGCTTCACTGTTGGAAGCCCTTCAATGGCAAGCTCAGGATACTTCTTTAGGATCTCTTCTGACATCACAACATACCTAGTTTTCACAGTCGTTGTCTTGCCTGCACAGCCAGATTCAACACAAATTATACTAAGTTTAGTTTCCAAAACAACATAAGAAAGAAACAAAGGACAATCAATATAATAGCTGCTTACAAAGTCGAGTCAGTTTCTGCTTTAGGACTGGATCATCACAGTTGGTGTTCTTGAAATACCCATCAACCAGAAATTCCTGCATCACAAGCTGGTGAGGGAAGGCCTTGCCAAGAGCCATAATCGAAGCTTTTCCTGGGCTAGCCTTCTTGCCTCCCTGCAAAACTGCATCTCCAAACCCCATACTCTCTCTTAATCTCTTCACAAACAGGTTGCTGAATCAATAAGCGTTTTTCCTCTTCAATTATCAAGCACAAATATATGCTATTATATACTTGCACAACAAAGTGGCTCTCAATAAAGTAAGTTGTAGTATGGAAGTAGTGCTATTATCAGATGGATTTCAAATTGATTAGTTGAGGAGTAAGAAGCTCATGAACATCAACAGAGAAAAAGAGTTTGGTTGTGCAAGCTTGGTAGGCCTCTTGCAGTTCAAGTGTATAATCAACTTCACAACTTAATTATTTTCTCTTATTATATGCCCTGCAGAAACAAAGATTCATTGCAAAAGGAAAAGCTAATTGGAAACATAAACAATTGCATATAACACTCCAAACTCTGAACCATGTCATACAAATACATAGTACATAATATATATTACTGTAAACAAGTATGCAGCTAGATAGCTGGTTGCAGATTGACAAGGACTGGATGGAATGGATATTTATCAGGTGTATACATTGTTACGTGTACATAATATGGAGCCAGAATACAGTATCGCACACAAATTTTATTGCCATTTTCCCAGAAGTTGAATGAACGCTTGATGGGTAATAAGAACGGAGTTCCATAATTTGTAATCCAGTTGATTAATTTGATGCATCATGGTCCAAATCAAAGTTCAGATAGAGATTTTCCGCTTATGAAATCAACAATTTGGGTGGCAGCTTCATCAAGTGCAGCAGCTACAGCGGCTAAATTTTGCAAAAACTCCTCTGCTGTTGGTTTATCACCATCCACAATATCGGTCACTGCTTTCAAAAAAATTGCAGGGACTTTCAAAAGATCTGACACATATGCAATTGCTGCTCCCTGAAAACATGATATTATGAAACCAATAAGCATTTACAAATCCTATAAGGAAAATATAAATACTTTTACCAAAACTGGCAGAGAAAATCTAATGGATCTTAATTTCACACAGCAATACACACAGCAATACAGCATGGTACATGCAAAACTGCAAAAGTGACCCAAGTCTTTACAAACTTCACTACTTGCCAAATTTTAAATGTAATTCACAAAATAGTACTCCATTTTATGTAACAGGAGGTAATAGGTGAAAAAACATTAAGCAATAACCAATGAATTGATGACCAAAAAGTAAAAATATGAGGGCCATAGTAGAAGCTCATAAAAAAAGCACGAATTTGGAATTTTCAAGATGGGCATGAGTAATAGGCCCATCACTCGACGCCACAGTATAGTAGAAACTAAAAACATACCTCCATGTCTTTAACTGTTGCATCATTAGCAGTGATAGATGATTCATCAACTGGGGACATATCCAAGGAATCACCAGTAGACAGTTTGCCAACCTGAAATATGCAAGCATGTACTATTGAAAATTTAAAAACAATGGTTTTCACAGTTAGCACCAAAATTCCAGAAATATAGGTGAGGAAAAACCACCTTCAGATTAAGTTCCTTCAGGAGATTAGGAGTGGGAAAAGCCTGTCGCAAGCCAACTCCATACAAATCAAATACCTAAAGGAAAGAGAAAGGGCAGATTAATTAAGATTTAGTGATCAAGTTACTGTTGATAAGAGAAACATTTATTTAGTCAATAAACTGACTAAGTAATCCTCAGTGTGGCTTCATAGGATAAAAAAATGAATGAAGTTCTTCACCTATAGAATCATGAAGTTATACCCTCAACGCCATGAAGGGGATATTTATTAATACAAATAAGTATAAAATGTTGATAACAATAGCTTTCCTTCACATTAACACCCAGTGATCCCAGTATCTAGACTTGAGTACTAGTAAACATGTGTCAAGTACAGGAGAAAGAGACTTTTCTCACCCATTTTTGTCCAAAACCTAAAAATGCTGGCAAATAGCATTCCTCCTTTCTCAATAGTGGCATATTATAAGATCCAAATACAAAATCCTATTTGAGATGGTAACTTACTGGGATAGGTATTCTTCTATCATGGAAAGCAGCATGTGATGCAATAAATACATCTCCAATGGAAGCACCTTTAGCCTGTAAATGTCTAAAAATCAAGACAAAACTATATTTAACAGAATTTATTCTAGAGATGTGCATTACACAGCAGGAAAACTGAGAAAGATGTAGTTAGTAACTTCATGAGAAGTTTATTGTTGTTTAAGGACATGTACCTTAAACCCACCCGCAGTGCCTGCATTTATGATGAGGTCAGGTTTTAATGCTTGGATAGAAGCATAAGTCAAAAGAGACGAAGAAATCGTCCCTACGCTGTCAACCCCTAAACAAAGGGAATTATCACATAATTACTTGATAACATAGGATCAAACAACCAGGGATATTTGAATTGAAGTGTAACAAAATTAACAACAATAAAGAAAATTTGTAATACCCAAAACTGCATCTTTTCCAGGACAGACAATATTCATTTCGAGATCCTTATAGTTGCCATAATACCGCACCCAAGGAACTCCCTTTGGAAACCTGCTTAGTTCAAATAATAAGCTAGAATTAATATGAAACAGCAGGAAAAATATCATCAAGCACCATTTTGGCTAACTAGAAAGGACAATGGAAAAAATAAGGATTGTACAGTATTATTAACTTGAAAGTCGAAAACTAGGGAAAAATCAATTATTATTAATATACGGAATAACAAACTGTAGTAGCTTTGTCAAATTTATTACTCCGTATATGTTCCTTCACTGTTTTGTACTATAAAAATCCTAACTTTATCGGTCTTGACACACTATTCTGATAGTCAATAGCACAAATTAGCAGGAAATAACGAAACCCTCAAATTAAATGAAAGAAGGGAAACTAAACACAAAAATCAGGAGGAAGAAAACTGACGGCGGATCAACATCCTCGACGAGCTGGAACTTATTGCCGAGAGGTAGCGCCTCAGTTTGCATAGCTGCACATGGGCCACAATCATTTCGCTCAGTCACCAGCAAAAAAAAAAAGTGTCAAAGCGCACACACATATGTAATATGGGGAAAGAGGGAGAGGCAAGACAAGGAGTACCGATGACGAAGACGATGGTGGAGACGGGGCGGTCATCGGCCGGAGAATGAGAAGAAGCGGCGACGGCTGACTCATCCTTGACTTGTTCCAATTGGTCCTCCGGAGGAGCCATTCTGATTTGCCTCACCAGATCTTCTCTTCTTCTTCTGTGATTGCTTTCTACGGATGCATCCCGACGAAAGTCTGTGGGCGAGCCGAGGGGCCCACGTGACTATTAACGAATCAGAAACCGCTGTTCTTTCCCAGACGGGTCCACCAGCCCACCAGGCATATATGGGCAAATTATATCGTACACCACTCTGCATAATCGATTATGCACCGCGAATCAAAACGACGTCGTTTTAATTAATGATAATGAAAAGAAACGGCATATGTTTCCCGTAATTCCGTACCCTTCCGCAAAAAGTAACTCTGTTATTTAGTTTCATTTTGTATACAATGCAATTTCGGTTCAACACAACTACAATTTCATTTCGATATAACTACAGTTTCATTCGATATTTATAGACTCAAATATGTTAAAATGTTATTTAATTTTATTTTATATACAGTATAGTTTTATTAAAACACAACTACATGATCATTTTGATATAATTACAACTTCATTGTACAATATACACTCAAATATGTGAAATGTTATTCAGTTTCATTTTATATAAACTGCAGTTTCATTTCACCACAACTATAATATTATTTTGATATAACTACAGTTTCATTTGATAATATAAAAATAATACGTGAAGCAGTGTCAGTTTAGATATACTGTAATATCAGTTAGAAATTAACTGCGCGTTCCGTTAAAATTAACTGTGCGTCGTTTCTTTACTTAAAGAAACGACGCCGTTTTGACCGCGGTGCACATGCACCGCAGTCCACGATATAACGACTAACATATTTCATATACCCTATTTTTGCTAAAAAGTCGCACGCTAAATTCATAGGCTAATAGGGCAAATTATTGTACGCTGGTCCACGTAACTATGTAACTCGTGGATGTAATATACATTTTTAATATACTAAAAGTATATTATTTATATATTGAATGTACATTATTTGATAATATATAAAAAATTATATATTTTTAAATAATATACTTTATATATATAAATAATGTGTTTTTAGTATATTAAAAATATACTTTTTATTTATGATTCACACAAATATGTAAAATGGTCCATGGAATCATGATTCCGCTCATAGCCAATAAGACAATAAGAAAAGAAGAAGTTTGGGCTGGAGTATGATTGTTCTGTTCACATCCTAAGAGACTAATATTGGGCTTTTCCATATTATTAGGCTTTCATTCAGAGAATAAATAATGGGCCAGGTCCAGTTCATACTCGATTAACAACTCATTATGCAATCGTTATACAGTGCACCATGGCACATATAGCATTGTGCGTCCCGCGCTTTCCAAAATAACGTCGTTTTGTTAAATTGTTAACATTTTTTTTTTTCATATTTCGAATGCACATAAACTCATAACAGAATACACATAAACTCATAACAAAATACACATAATCTAACATAATACATAATACACATAAACTTTTCACTAAATACACATAATGGGGTTTGGTTTACATAATACACAAAAATTCTTAACTGAATACACATAAATTCATAACACAATATACATAAACTTTTCACTAAATACACATAATGGGGTTTGGTTTACATAATACACAAAAATTCTTAACTGAATACACATAAATTCATAACACAATATACATAAACTTTTAACTGAATACACATAATGTGTTTGGTTAACATAATACACATAAACTCTTAACTGAATACACGTAAACTGATAACACAATACGCATAAAATTTTAAATGAATACACAATGAGGTTTGGTCTATTCGGATGGACAAAGTGACATTAACATGATGTCAGCATAAAATGCGCGCATTTTGTATCTGGAACATTGTTATGTGCGTCGTGGTGCACGATAGAAATTGCCCTCATTATGTCGGACCACAACACCTCATTAATTCAACTCCTTTTGACTTTTAAGACACCCAAGTGGACTCTTTCTCGATGTAAACCCATCCCGGCAGCCACAATTTGACTTGTTCTCCTATGTTAAAAAATTCTATTTAATTAGGGAGTAGTTAGTTCAATGGTTCAACAGACAGTATTCGAAAGAATAGATGAATATTTAAATGTCGACAGTAGTTTAAGAATTATGTCTTAAATAGATAAATCTCTTGTATGCACCAATATGTAGTCACTAATTTTAACAAACATATGATTAACATATTAAAGACTTTAAAAATCAAAAAAGGTCAGGACTAACTCTTGATATCTAATTCCTTGTCAATGAATTCACTATATAACAATAATATCTCATATGATAAAATACTAATTGCTCTGTCCATCTCGCGTGTTTTAATTGGGTATTTGGGTTGATTAACTTAAGTATAACCTTTTAACTTGTATAAATATAACTCACATAATTTTATGAATACTCTCAAATATATTTACTTGAAACTCAGTTTGAGCAAACACAAATCACAATATCTGCCCTAATCATCTATAAATATATTTTGAATTAGTTGATAGTTGATACGTTGAGTTGTGCCGAGTACCCTACCGTATTCATTTCGATCATTTCATTTCACCGACGTAACGAACTGCTCAGCTTTACATTAAATATACAATAGGTCCATAAAGAGTTGACTTGTTTATCCATTCCCATTTACGAAAAAGTAGACATCTTGATTTGTTCATACATCATTAATCATTGATATATATCACATATATGAATTAAATAATAATTTATTGAATCACTCCAGCATGCAATTATTGTTGCATCCATAACGTGCTGCTGATTTCTTGTTGAGGCTATTAATTGCGAACACCTACCACAAACATAACTGCTTTCTTATCATCAAAGGAAAAAAATGACTATATATTCTTCCCAAAAATATAATAAATAATAAATTACATTAGAAAGAAAATTGTTTCATTATTTTTTGTTACACAAGATCTTTCTAATATTGTTTACCTCACTTATGTAATTTAAGTTCTATTACATACATAATAATAATGCACATCATTCCTAAGAGTCTGTCAATTAATCACATTGCTTATTAACATACACCAGAATAGCTAAAATAAGCATTTACAATTTATAATCTTCTGCAAATTAAATATTTGCAACATACAGTATTTCAGAAATAATTAGCACTAGCATGATCTGCAGGTTTGTCAAATTGCCAGTAACCCATCGCTAACTAGCTAGCACGTATGAGACTAATCTACCTGCAGCCAGCCAGGCAAATATCAATGCGAATTATTCGGAAATCAGAGATGATGATATATATTGTGTTGAAATTCGGATTCAAAATCCATATTATATATATATATATGGTACGGTGAACAACGACGACGTTTGCAGATGCACGAAGAAAGCACCTCCGATCCGATCCCCAATTCAATAATATATGTTTTGCTTACCCCGGCCCTTCACAAGATAAACAAAAGAATTAATTTGATAATTAAAATAATAATAATTTGCAAATTGTTTATATATTTATTTGATACTCCGATAGATTAACTGACGTCGACAACTACGTGCTTGGATGAAGATATTTGTGCAGGCAAGCTCCATACTTCGTGGACCAGCCATCAGTACTTATTAATAAGGGAATAGGTTTTTATATATTATTATATAATAATAATTATTATATTGGATCAAGCTAAGTGATACCCACATACATGCATTAATTAAGCATACTCCAAGTTGATCATCTATCAGATCGATCAATTGCTATAAATAGACAGTGATGTAGGCGAGAGTTTACATGTACAACTAACTAACATCATTTATCCATCAATGGCTGCCAACACAATTCCAAGGCACATTCTTGGCGATGAAGAAAGCCATCCTCACAATATTGGTGGAAGCAAAAGAATTGCAGCCGTCTTCTCTCCATTCCCAATGCAAGTAACTTCATTCATATCCCCGCCGGCCCTTTTTTTTTTTTTTTTTTTTTTTTTACCACCATGCATATACATATATACATACGCAAATTTATTAGTAAAACACTGTATATATATATATATACTCATTAGATTATATTATATTGTTTTGCAGGGGGGATCACGAGTGGACTGGCGATGATCAGAAAACGCCTCCGGCTTCCGTCACGCTTGCTCAGAAACTGGGCGTCATGGACTTCTTTTCATTGAATGTTAGTATATATATATGTATAGTCATAACATACCAAGCTAAGGTTAATTAATATAATAAACCTTAGCTTATATATTAACGTAGTATGTAATGTCTGTTTTGTGTACGTTAAAGGTCTGGCGGGCATCGATAGGGGAGCTCATCGGCACGGCCGTGCTGGTCTTCATGATTGACGCCATAGTCATATCCACCTACGAAACTGACATCAAAATGCCAAATTTAGTTATGTCGGTTCTTATCGCTATCGTCATCACTATTCTGCTAATCGCAGTGTTTCCGGTCTCCGGTGGCCACATAAACCCCATTATCTCCTTCTCCGCCGCCTTAGTCGGGATTATTTCCATTTCCAGAGCTGTAATCTACATGGTTGCACAGTGCGTCGGTGCTACGCTGGGTGCGCTGGCGCTCAAGGCGGTGGTGAGTAGCAGTATCGAAAACACTTTCTCGTTGGGAGGATGCACGCTGACGGTGATTGCTCCGGGCCCAAATGGGCCCATTACTGTTGGGCTCGAGACGGCCCAGGCTTTCTGGCTCGAGATCTTCTGTTCATTCGTCTTCCTTTTCGCGTCCATTTGGATGGCGTATGATCACCGGCAGGCCAAGTCGCTGGGGCTTGTAAAGGTTTTGTCAATCGTCGGAATGGTGTTGGGCCTGCTGGTGTTCATCTCGACGACGGTGACGGCCAAGAAGGGATACGCCGGCGCCGGGATGAATCCGGCGAGGTGTTTCGGGGCTGCAGTTGTGAGAGGAGGACACCTGTGGGATGGTCATTGGATATTCTGGGTGGGGCCTTTCATTGCTTGCGTGGCATTCTATTTGTACACTAAGATCATTCCAACTCAGCATTTCCATGCAAGCGGCTATCCACATGATTTCTTCTCCACTCTCAAGCTTGCCTGCGGATCCCCCCAACTATAGCTATACACTATACTATATGTATCTATTGTACTTCCTCCAATTCAACATAATCCAT